CTTTAGAACTCTGGAAATTAACCAAAGACTATTAGCAGTTTAGGCAGCATCTACTCAACAAGAACAGATTAATCTCAGTAAGAAGTATGGGTTGTGCAGTAAATATAACTTAAATTATTATATTCATTTATTTATTTATTGTATTATCATCACCCTTCATTCCCTCCCCTTCTGCCTTGGATGCTACCAACTACTCCTAATGGGTGATTGGTTTACTATCAGTTGGTATCACCCTTTTTGCTTCTGCCCTGGACTCTACCAACTACCCCTAATGGGTGACCGGGTGTCCTAGTCTCAGTTGGTATCACCCTTATAGCCCCCCACTTCTGCCTTGGACTGTACCAACTACTCTTAGTGGGTGATTGGTTGTCCTACTCTCAGTTGGTATCACCCTTCGTCCCCCTCCCCCCCCCCGCATTTATGCCTTGAACATTACCAATTATGTCCAATCGGTGATTGGTTTAGTCTCAGTTGGCATAACCCTTTTTCCTGGTTTAGTCTCAGTTGGCATGACCCTTTCCCCACCTCCCCCATTTCTACCTTGGATGTTGGTATCACCCTTCTCCTCCCCCCCATCTGCCTTGGATGCTACCAACTACTTTTAATGGGTGATTGGTTTGGTCTCAGTTGATATTACCTTTCTTCCCCCTCCCACACATCCCCCTTTTGCCTTGGATACTACCAACTACACCTAATGGTTGATGGGTTGTCCTAGTCTCTGCTGCTAATTTCCCCCTGCTTTTGCCTTGGCGTCTACCAACTACTATGAATGGGAGATTGGTTGTCCTACTCTCAGGTAGTATCACACTCCTTCCCCTGCCCCCTTCTGCCTTGGATTGTACCAACTATTCTTAATGAGTGATTCACTGTCTTAGTCTCAGTTGGTATCATCCTTTGTTCTTCCCCCTTCTGCCTTGCAATCTACCAACTACTCCTAATGGGTGATTGGTTGTCCTAGCCACAGTTAATACCACCTTTCTTCTGCCAATTACTCTTTATTGGTGCTGGGTTGTCCTAGGCTCCACTGCTAATACCCTTTTCCCTCCCCCTTCTGCCTTGGAGTCTACTCACTACTCCTAATTGCTGATTGGTTATCCTAGTTTCAGTTAGTGTCACCCTTCTTCCCCTGCCCTCTTCTGCCTTGGACTGTACCAACTACTCTAAATGATTGATTGGTTGTTCTAGTCTCAGTTGGCATCACCCTTTGTTCCACCCCCTCCTGCCTTGGAATCCAGCAACTAGTCCTAATGGGTGATTTGTTGTCCTAGTCTCCATTATTACCACCCTTTTTCCTCTTTCTTCTGCCTTGAACTGTATCAACTACTCTTCATGGTTGATTGGCTGTCCTAGTCTCAGTTGGTATCACCCTTGGTCCTCCACCTACCTTGGAATATACCAACTACTCCTAATGGGTGATTGGTTTAGTCTCAGTTGGTATCACCCTTCTTCACTTCTGCCTTACACCCTACCAACTAATCCTAATGGATGATTGTTTGTCCTAGTCTCAATTGGTATCCCCTTTCTTCCCTACAGCTTCTGCCTTGAAGTTTACCTACTACACTTAATAGATGATTGAATGTCCTAATGTCAGTTGGTATCACCCTTCTCGCCCCACCCCCTGCTGTCTGCCTTGGACTCTACTAATTACTCCTAACGGGTAATTATTTGCCCTAGACTCAGATGGTATCACCCTTCTTCCCCCTGCTTCTGCTTTGGATTCTACTAACTACTCCTAATGGGGAATTGGTTGTCCTAGTCTCAGTTGGTATCATGCTTCTTACCCTCCAGTTTGGCCTTTGATTCTACCAAATACTTTTAATAGGTGATAGCATTAGTCTCAGTTGGTATCACCCTTCTTCCCCCGCTTCTGCCCTGGACACTACCAACTACTCGTAGTTGGTGATTGGTTGTCCTAGTTTCCACTGCTAAGACCCTTTTTCCTCCCCCTTGGAGTCTACCAACTACTCTTAATGAGTGATTGGTTGTCCTCATCTCAGTTGGTATCACCCCTTATTCCACCACTTTCTGGTTTGGAATCTAACAAGTACTCCAAATGGGTGATTGGTTATCCTAGTCTCAGTTAATACCACCCTTCTTCTTTCCTCTTCTGCCTTAGACTACCAACTACTCTTCATGGGTGATTGCTTGTCCTAGTCTCAGTTGGTATCACCCTTGGTCCCCCACCTGCCTTGGAATATACCAACTACTCTTAAAGGATGATTGGTTTAGTCTCAGTTGGTATCACCCTTCTTCCCTTTCCGCCTTAGACTCTACCAACTAATCCTAATGGATGATTGTTTGTCCTAGTCTAAATTGGTATCCCCTTTCTTCCCCCCAGCTTCTGCCTTGGACTTTACCTACTATACCTAGTAGATGATTGGTTGTCCTAATGTCAGTTACTATCACCCTTCTCCCTGCCACCTTCTGCCTTGGACTCTACTAACTACTGTGCTTCTTCCATGACTTAGCAATTATGGATTGGGCTGCAATAAACATTCTGGTACAAATATCTTTGTTATAATGTGATTTTTCTCTCTTCTGGATTTATACCTAGTAGAGGAATTGTAGGATCGAATGGCAGGTCTATTTTTAGTTCTCTAAGTGTTCTCCAAACATCTTTCCAAAAGGAACCTATTAGTTTGCATTCCCACCTTTTCTCCACATCCATGCCAACATCTTTTGTTTTGTGATTTCGTGATATGGTACAGTCTTATTGGAGTTAGATGATATCTCAAAGTAGTTTTGATTTGCATTTCTCTGATGATTAAGGACTATGAGCATTTTTTCATATTTCTGTAGGCCGTGTGTCTGTTTTCTTCAGAGAAGTTTCTCTTCAAGTCCCTTGCCCACCCTGAGATGGGATCACTTGTTCTTTTCTTGGTAATATGTTTGAGTTCTCTGTGGATTCTGGTTATTATACCTTTGTCAGAGACATAACCCGCAAATAATTTCTCCCATTCTGAGGGCTGTCTGCTTGTTTTAC